AAAAAAAAAAAAAATTGCTCACAATACAGACTAAGTATGGTGAAAGAATCCAACCCTGTCGCACACCTTTCCTAATTTCAAACCATTCAGTGTCCCCTTGTTCTGTTCAAACATCTGCCTCTTGGTCTATCTACAGATTCCTCATGAGCACAATTAATGTTCCAGAATACTCATTCTCCACAATGTTGTCCATAGCTTGTCAGGATCCAATGGAAAGCCTTTGTGTAGTCAATAAAGCACAGGCAAACATCTATCTGGTACTCTCTACTTTCAGTCATGATTCATCTGACATCACTAATACCCCTTGTTCTACGTCCTCTTCTGAATATGGCCTGAACCTCTGGAAGTTCTCTGTCAAAATGTGCTTGCAGCTGTTTTATAGTATCATTGACAAAATTTTACTTGCATATTAGTGATAGTGTCTGGTGATTTCTGCATTCCATTGGGTCACCTCTCTTTGGAATGGGCACAAGTTTGAATCTTTTCCAATCAGTTGGCCAGGTATTTGTCTTCCCAAATTCTTGGCATCCACAAATGAGTGCCTCCAGTGCCACAACCGTTTGTTGAAAGATTTCAGTTTTTATCCCATCAATTCCTGAAGTCTTGTTCTTTGCCAGTGACTTCAGTACACCTTGGACTTCTTCCTTCAGGATCATTAGCACTTGATCATATGCTACCTCTTGAAATGGGTGAACATCAACCATTTCTCTTTGGTACAGTAACTCTGTATAGTCCTTCCATCTTCTTTTGATGCTTTCTGCATCATTCAATATTTTAAATCAAGCCTTGAATTTTTTCTTTAGTTCCCTCAGCTTGAGAAATGCTGAGTGTGTTCTTCCCTTTTGGTTTTCTAACTCCATATCTTTGCCCATTTCATTACAATATTTCACTATGTATTCTCAAGCTACCCTTTGCAATTTTCTATTCAGCTCTTTCACCTCCTCATTTCTTCCATGTGCTTTAGCATCTCTACACTGGAGAGCAAGCTTCAGAGTACATTCTGACATCCATTTTTGTCTTTTTCCTCTTGTCTTTTTAGTGACCTTTTCCTTTCTTCCTGTATGATGTTCTTGATGTCATCCCACAACTCTTCTGGTCTTCAGTCATTCATGTCTAATTCATCTTATCAGTTCTCGAGATGATCTCTAAATTCAGGTGGGATATATTCAAGGCCATATTTTGGCTCTCGTAGATTTGTTTTAATTTTCTTCACCTTCAGCCTGAACTGTGACTGTTTCACATTCTGCCTCTGGCTTTGTTTTGGCTGATGACATGGAGTTTTTCCATTGTGTCTTTCCACAGACGCAGTCAATTTGGTTTCTGTGTATTCCATCTGGTGAGGTTCATGTGCATAGTCATCTTTTATGTTGTTTAAAAGACATATTTGTAATGAAGAAGTCATTGGGCTTTCAAAATTCCATCATCAAGGCTATATTTCCCAATGATTGATCCTTCCTCAGCTCACTAATACATAGGATATTAATGTTTTTGTATTGCATTTAATTTTGATGACTTCTGATTTTCTAGATTCATACTTCTTACGTTTCATGTTCTAATTATTAATGGATGTCTCCTCATTTTCAGTTGTGCCCCTTCAGACCATGGAAGTCCTGAAAGCTTTACTCCATTTGCGTCATCACAA